AATGTACTTCATCAATCTGCCTGTTCTGCTCCCCACTCTGTCTCTGGTGAATCCTCTCACCACCCCTGCACCTCTAGCCTGTACGCCAGTTCTGTAGTGCATAAATAAATAAATCTTTAAAAAAAAGAAATTCACTGAAACTGATTCCTCAGTTTGGCTTTGGCTTAGTGCTAGGCAAAATCACAAAGGGAACCGCTAACACTACAATATAGAATGGAATACTTTAAAAATCTTTCGAGAACTGTGAAAACAACTCCAGATATAGTATTTTTTCATACAGTGGCCAATTTATAGCAATGACAAATGTGAAATTTTAAGTAAAGTCTCAATATTTAAGTTAGAATGTAGAAAGTCCTTTCCACCTCATAATCAGAAACTAAAAGAAGGCTGAACTCCTCTGGTAACTACTCAGGGAAAATCCTTAATATCTGAATGAGTCTGAACCAGACCTTCTGCGGCTTAATGGCCACATACAAAAAAACTGTTAATATCCAAATCTGAAACAAACACAGCAAATAAAAGAACAGTTTTCTCAAGTTATCTTTTTTTTTTTTAACCATGTAAGGAAGAGTTCTATATGCTCAGGGGAAAGATTACTGTAGTTATATAATTCATATATTTCTATACAGCTAACAAGTTACAGATAAGGGAGGGATAAAGAAGAACCAAAGAAGTAAAACTTACACACAAAAGTCTCTACATGGGTGCACAAGTCACCACATTTTGGACAGCGCAGCTGGTTTCCACCTTTCCCAGAATTCCCAGAGCCGGATTTCTTACTGCTTCCCTCACTCACTGATTTCTAATGTTTATGGAGGAGAAAAAAAGAGAATGTGAATTACTTCTTTCAGGCAACCTTTTTAAATGTTAACTTAAATATAAACAATATAGTTTATAATTAATCTGATAATTTTTACCTTTTCTAGAGTGGAATTACTAGTATAATTTATATCTCTACTATCACTAGTGCCCAAAGATACATTTACTACTAAAATAATCTCAGTAAATATATTCATCTGCATTCTTTCTTCACATAGTATGTATAATAAGTACCTTTCTTTCCATGACTCAATAAGCACTAGGAAAAAATTATATAAGTAAAAGCCATTTTCAAATGGAACCAGGAAGGACAATGCAGACAAACCATTTCACTTTAAACTGCCAGACCCTTGACTTGGATCAAACCACTAACATTCCAAGGAAAACAAGAAGAAAAATATCTTACTTGAAAGGACTGATAAAGGTAAACTTTTACTTCATACTTTCCACCTGACATTTTTACCTACGATTCATCTGACCATTATCTCATCCTTAAAAAAAAACACACACACACACAAAGCAACCTGTCCTTCCTTTAGATATGCTTTAATTTTTGCTATATCTGTGAACCCTGAATTGTAATTTTCTGCTATTGCCAAATATAGTCAACCCTCATAGATATTAGGGGTTCGGTTCCAGATAACTGCAACAACAGGTGTTATCAGAATACAAGTTACACTAATTTTTGAGTTGCCAAGTATATGTTCAAGTTTTGTTTACACTATACTAGTCTTTTATGTATGCAATAGTTATTACTGTAAAAAAAAAAAAAACTCTTGAGTGTATGTACCTGTATAAAATACTTATTTGGGCCCTCCCTGGGGGCGCAGCGGGTTAAAGCACTGCACTGAGAAGCTAAAGTCACTTCCGCATGAGTTCGATTCCCGCCTGCCCTGGAGGAGACCACATGGCGTGGCAGACCTCTCCTGGCCCGCCCGCTGCTCCCCTCAGCAGTGTACTTCCTCGATCTGCCTGTTCTGCTCCCCACTCTGTCTCTGGTGAAATCTCTCGCTGCCCCTGAGTCTCTGGCCTGTACCCAAGTTCTGTATGTACAAATAAATAAATCTTTAAAAAAAAAATACTTATTTGCTAAAAAATGCTAAACACTGGGCCCTCCCAGTGCCACTATGTGTTAAAGCACAGTATTAGGAAGTTACCGCTGCAGCGCAAGTTCAATCCCCAGTTTGGGGGCCGCCCCATGGTGTGGCAGACCTCTTCTGACTGGCCTGGTACTCCCCTTAGCAGTGTATTTCAGTACATCTGCCTTCCTGTTCTGCTCTCCACTCTATCTCTGGTGAATCCTTTTACCCCCTGCACCTCTGGCATACACCCCAGTCTGTGTGCATAAATAAATAAACCTTTTTTAAAAAATGCTAACTTATGAAAAAATGTTCAAGATCACTTGTAATAAGGGAGATGAAGATTATTCTCACCTTGGGTTACCACCTCACACCAGTGAGAATGGCACATCTTCAAACAACTAGCAACAACAAATGTTGGTGAGGATGTGGAGAAAAGGGAACTCTCCTACACTGCTGGTGGGAATGCAAACTAGTACAACCACTATGGAAAACTATTTGGAGGTTCCTCAAACTGCTAAACATGGAGCATCCCTACGACCCAGCAATCCCACTCCTAGGGATCTACCCAAAAGACACAAAAACACTGATTCAAAAAGATACCTGCACCCCCATGTTTATTGCTGCCTTATTCACCATTGGAAAGACATGGAAAAAGCCCAAATGCCCAAAAATGGATGACTGGATTAAAAAGATGTACATATGCACAATGGAATATTACTCAGCATCCAAAAAAAAGAAACACATGTCTGGAGCTGGAAAAGATCATGCTTAGTGAGATAAGCCAGAAAGAGAAAGAAAAATACCGGATGGTTTCACTCATAGCAGTATAATGGACCAGGCGAGAAAATAACAAAAATAATGAACAACCATAGACCAGAGACATTTTGTGGGGGTGGAGTGGGGAATGGGATCAAAAATGGGGGGGGGGGAAGGGAGGGAAATGCACGGGACTAGGGTGGTGGCACAGGGGTGATTTGGTGATGGGAAACCCATGGGGATTACAACTGAGATGAAAAAAAAATGTGCAAAATGATGTAAAAATAAACTTTTTAATAAAAAAAAAGAAAAAAGAAACACATGTCTTTTGCAGCAACATGGATGGAGCTGAAAAAGATCATGCTTAGTGAAACAAGCCAGAAAGAAAAGGAAAAATACCGGGTGGCTTCTCTCATAGCAGGAATATAACGGAATAGGCGAGAAAATAATGATAATGACGAACAGCTATATACCAGAGACATTTTGTGGGGGTGGAGTGAGGAATGGGATCAGAAACAGCGGGGGGAGGGAAATGCATTGGACTATGGTGATGGCAAATGGGTGATGTGGTGATGGGAAGCCCAGGGGGATTGCAAATGAGATGGGAAAATGTACAAAAATATGTAAAAATAAACTATTATTTTAAAAAAAAAATGCTAACCACTGAGTGTTCCGAAAGTCATAATAATCTACCAGTGGAAAGTATTGTAAAATAGACAATATCTGGGAGGTGCAATAAAGCAGTGTGCAATATAACTAGGTATATACATGTGTATCCATTTTTGCTTGCCCACTAACTGCTGTTCTGTTATTGAAGGTTAACAGTTACTGTAAGAAAAAAACTACATTTCAATGAAACTGAATCAGGCATTATCATGACAAGCAGATACTACCTTTTTTTGATCTAATTCTTCTCATCTCTAAAAAGGGGATAATTTCACTTACTTCAGAAAGTCATTGTTAGGATTAAGTATAAATATGAATGTACTTAGCATTTCATCTTACATATAATATTAATGCAAACGTTAGTTAAATTCACATTAAAAATGTTAATTATCTCATTGACCCAATAATACCCAATAATTTACTTGCTAGCTACAGAGTAGCCCAATGTTAGGTCATCCAGATATCCCCAGATTTTTAGGATATAAGTAAGGTTTATATTACGAATTGTTAAAGGGTTATGTGAAAGTAAGAAATGATGGCTATTAACTAATTTAATTCTAACCGAAGACTACATGGATAATTTAATTAATAATGCTTCTTTATTACCTTGGGGACTTAGAATTTTAATAACTGCTTACTAAATATAATGCTTAAAATTATTTTATGGTTCAAACTGAAACACAAAATAAAATTAGCTAAAGTTCTTTGGATCATTTTACATATTTCTACTTCCTACATGTAAAACATATACATCAATGGAATGCACAGAACTATTTCATAATTCTTTAAAGGAAGAAAATCAAATAGTGTAGCAATGCCAATAAAGATAAAATAATTACTTTATTTCCATCTCCAGAGCCATCTTTACTGATCCCATCTTTTGAAGCAAAATATGCTGGTGTTTCTGTAAAAGTTCTAAAAGGAGCTCTTCGTAAGATCTGTGTTTCAAAGGTCCCAAGTCTTCCTAAAACTGGTATATGAATGCGACCACAAGAAATACCTGAAAATATAATTAAATTTATTAGTCCATCAAATATTAACATGCCTCAATAAAACCCTTCGAAACAAAATTTCCATAAGCATAAAGGATGACAAAGCTATAGTTTTCACAACAGTAGAAAATTTGGTAGAGGAGGATAGTCTATCAACAGAGGCAAAGCCTTATCAAAAATAAGTTAGATCTGGGCATCCAAGAGACTTCAACTAAACAAGGACATCTTTTTCCTGGCCTATCTTTTGCAAGTGAGAAAAGAACACTCAAATCATAACAACCAGTGGCTCTTTTGAAGTTTGAGAATAAGTGCCTCAAGAGCTGTTTCATATATGGGGGAAAAGGTTATTTGTATTCTTTTTTATCTTTTTTATTCTTACATTATTTCTATCAATAAGAATAAGCAATGATATAAACTCTTATCTGTCTCTCTGGTTATATGGAGTGGAAACAAATTTAAAATGTTCTTTAAAATGCTGGCCCTCCCTGTGGCGCAGCGGGTTAAAGCACTGCACTAAGAAGCTGAAACCACTTCCACATGAGTTCAATTCCTGCCTCCCCGGAGGTGACCACATAGTGTGGCAGACCTCTCCTGACCCACCGGCTGCTCCCCTCAGCAGTGTACTTTATCGATCTGCCTGTTCTGCTCCCTACTCTGTCTCTGGTGAAGTCCCTGAGTCTCTGGCCTGTACCCCAGTTCTGTATGCACAAATAAATAAATCTTTTAAAAAAAAAAGTTATATGCTGGCTCTCCCTGGTGGTGCAACAGATTAAGGCACAGCATTATGAAGCTCTCTGAAGCCACTGCAGCCAGAGTTCAATCTCCAGCCAGGGAGGTGACCCACATGACGAGGCAGACCTCTCCTGACCCGCCTGCTGCTCCCCTCAGCAGTGTACTTGGTCAATCTGCCTGTTCTACTCCCCACTCTGTCTCTGGTGAATCCTCCCACCCACCACACCTCTGGCCTGTACCCTAGTTCTGTAAACATAAATAAATCTGAGAAAAAAAAAAGTTATGTGCTGTTCATTAAAATATTAAAAAATATTTTAATCCTGCAGGAAAAAGAAATAACTCAGCAAATACTGTATAACCACCATCTTGTTTTCAAACATTTTAATCTTTTGCCATATTTGACATTAACAATTTGAAAATCTAACATAGGTTAAACACTGACTTATTTGGGAAACATTTTCTATAAGGACCAGGATAGTAAGTATTATCAGCTTTGTGAGCTACATGGTCTCAATCCAAGTGTATCACGAAAGCAAAGATAAACAGTATGTAAACAAATGTGTATGGCAAACTTGGTCCAAGGGGTAACTGCTGACCTCTGGTTTTTCCCATTTAAACACAAAATAAAACCCAAATCAATGACAGCCAATGGCCAAAGAGTTCTACTACATACTATGAGGCAACAATTCTCAAGTTGGTCCTTAAGAGTATCCACTACACAAGAAAATGGTCCTATATTAAACAAAATTTTATAGACTTCAGTATTACAGGATTACTTAGAACTTTGTGTAAGCCAACATACATTACTGGATCACCAAAAAAGAAGCCTGCCAGCAATGTACCAGAGAGATGTTTAGAGATAATAAAGAACAAAAAAAAAAAAAGGGCAGGGAGTACATAGGTTACACTAAAATAAACTTTAAAAAATTGATTTTTGCCCCCCACATTTTATTCCCTCCAAAATTCTCAACTCAGACTTTAAATTTTTATTCTACACCTTTTAAGAAATCACACACATAATATACAAATACAAAACTAAATACCTAAATGCATTAACTAGTTTATGTTGTACTTCAATAATTTTTAAAAACATCTACCAATTAATATATAAAGGACTGGGTTTATTAACTCCAATTTTCCAACACTTTAGAGTGCACTGTTAGAACAACTAGTCTCAGTAGTTATTTATCATCCTAAGCTATCTTGAGTTCCACTAAAAACAAAAATGAATCCACCCAACTTCTCAGGAAAGATACAAAGATCAAAAATTTCTTATCTCTATATAAAATTTTAAAATTCAAAAAAAAAAGAATTAAGGTTCATGACATCCCAGACCCTATTCCAAGTTTTTTTTTTTTTTAAATCTAAAATTTTATGATCTACAAAATTGGTCAACACTATTAGACTTTAGTAAGAAAAAAGCTACACATTTGATGTTAACTCTAAGCAATGTTTTCAAAACTTTCCTAATTTTAAAAATAATTTTTCTAGTTTTTGCAGTAAATTACAGCCATTACTCTCAGCTTGAGATTTAAGGTAGCTGTTAATTTTAAGCTAAATATTAATGCTGTTTCAAGAACATAATATGATTTAAAGACTGTCAATCTAAAAAGCAAGCATAGAAAAGTAAAGGCGAGGTGTAAATGAAATAAAAAATGGAGTTAAGTTAGTGGACACTGAAGCTGGTGTGATGGGTATTTTGAGGGTTCAGTGTTCTACTTCATTATGTTTGAAAAAGGTTCATAATAATACATTAAAAATGTAAGTCAGCACAATAAAGTTATCTATTTTTTAATCTATGTAACAAACATAACTTTTTAATTAAGACATATTCAGAGAGAAAACTACAATGATAACAAGATTTATGATATAAAACTATCATATCTTGATGCTTAGCATAAAATTTAACCCTGAAGTATCACATACCATAATGCCTATTTACAATAAAACATATCTTTCAAAATAGTTGTTAACAATTTACAATATCTAATGGTATTAAAAAATATGCTAAAAGGAAATTACCTTGGGAACTTAAGGAAAATTATCAACATAATCCCTTTAACATCTTCTTGAATAGAAAAATAAATCACTCACTCTATCAAGTAACATATGAAACCAATCGTATAGTCACCATTAAGAATATTCTATAAAAGACATGTTCATGTTATTTAAACTTTTAAATTAAAAATTTCTTTGTTGAAACTGCTAAACATGGAGCTTCCCTACGACCCAGCAATCCCACTCCTAGGTATCTACCCAAAAGACACAAAAACACTCACTGAAAAAGATACCTTTACCCCCATGTTTATTGCTGCTTTATTTACAATTGGAAAAACATGGAAGCAGCCCAAATGCCCAAAAGTAGATGACT